TTTTTTTATATATTTGATATCGTCTGTGCAGGCGTTATTCATGCTCCCGAAGACTGCAGCTCAATCCCAACCGACGAACCTTGCCTTCTCCGCCGCCGTACCACGTCCGACGCCCTACTCCGGAGCGTTGGTTTCTAGGCTTCCAGCCACCTCGTACGGATTGGGTTTATTCCGAAGGGGTGAAAAGTGCTCTTTCATCGTTAGAGCTGAAGCAGATGCCGATGTCGAAGAAAGCGAAGCCAATGCGGAAAGTGTCGAGGATGAAGAGGAGGCTGAGGTTCTGTCCGACGACAAGCCACCTCCGAAACCAAGAATCAAACTTGGAGAAATTATGGGGGTAATGTAATCAGTCTAAATTTTACCATCTTTTTGCTACCATAAATCTGCCCGGTTTTGCTTTATTAGGGATGGTATAGAAAATTATAGTTATTGATGTGCAAGAGCTCGGGTTTTCGCTGTTATGAAACAGATACTGAATAAACGAGCGATTGAAGCTTCGGACAAGAAAAGACCTACACCGGATCTTCGGACCGGTGATATTCTGGAAATCAAACTGGTGTGTCGTTTTTCGTTTGTTTACCCATATTTCAATACAGTCACATACTGATGCTTGCCTGCATTTTGTGTACTATTCGAGTAAACGCTGTTGTGTGTGTGTGTGTGCTCTACAGGAAGTACCTGGGAACAAGCGTCGGTTGGCTGTATATAAAGGGATAGTCATATCGAAGCAAAATGCTGGCATCCACACTACGATTCGTATTAGGCGTATCATTGCTGGAGTTGGTGTTGAGATTGTGTTCCCTGTGTAAGTTGTCACTTTTGAGAAGGTTTAGGGCTTTGGGTATATATGATCATCTTTCATTTTTTTGGTCTAAATGTGGTAAACAAAGCGGTTGTTGGAATATATCACACTTTGTGCTTCTTTATCATTTGAATAAGTTGCTTGATTGCTTTGCTTGGTAAGTAATGAATAATCCCTATACGGCTATACCACGGTAACAAGGATTCGTTAGAGATATGTAAAGGAAATTTCTGAAGATATATTTTTGGTGATCAGAGAACCATATGAATCATGGATGTTGGAAATTATGAAACTCGGCTCTGATTATGATATTTCGAATGGAACAAGACAGCTTTCTTACCATGGAAGTTGGGTGGTCACTGGTCAGTGAACCAATGTAGATGTTAAGAACCATAATATTGATTCTGATTATTTACACCAATCATGAGTTTGCCTTTTCATTTCTTTGGTTTTGCGGTTATGGTTTTCTTCATCAGCGTCTCGTATTTGAGATATTTAACTCTTGTCCCTTAACATCGACAGCTCGAAGCCATGAACCGACATGTAATGTTCTGATATGCAGAAACATCATCATCATGCACTTCATAATGTCTCCATGTTGTCATCTTGTGTCAAACACTTCATCTGTAGTTGTTCGATGGAATGGAAATGCTTCGCCGTGTTCACCTGCATTTCGAAATGTTGTAATTGTTTATAATATTCCTTTTAGTACCAATGAAAGGAAACCATAATCAGTGTCTTATATCACTGGAAAGAAAAAAAGAATGGAACATTTCACAAATAGCAAAGTTTGACAAACTAATGTCTGTGGTCCAGATTCGTGCATGTATTTTGACTACCCTTTCTGAAGTTGAGCTCATGTATATTCAAGCATCTGTTTAGGCACAAATAAGTTGTACTACATTCAAACATACAAAATTCATAATTTTTTACTGTATCGAGATTCTGCCTTTTGAACTTCAGTTTCTTCCTTTCATGTTTTTGTTTTGTTATACAGATATTCGCCACTTATTAAAGAGATTAAAGTGGTCAGCCACCGGAAGGTCCGTAGAGCCAGGTTGTACTATCTGCGAGACAAGCTTCCAAGGTTCTCATCTTTCAAATGAAAGGCATTTGGTGGACTCCTAATGTTTGTTCTGGGTAACCTTAGATCTCAATTTTCCTCTAAATCTCGATCCTTTTGTTTGTCAGTTGTAATTACGTGAATGAATTGAGGACCCTATTTTCAGATATTGAATTTTCATGTGACCAACTAGCTCCATGAACATTTTCTGCTTATGTACTAGTTTTTTGTATATCGACTTTGTCTGTACCCTTAGGTTACATTTTGGCTACATTGATCTTATTGTTTGCATAAGAATTCCTCAAGAGAAATACAAGTACTTATTTTCCTTTTTGATTTTATCTATAGATAAACTGCTGTAGAATCTTTGTTGGACTAAGTGGGATAGATAAGATTAACCGAGGCTTAGTTGGAAATTAGTTCTCGACACTGGCTACTAAGGTCGTTTTTATTAGGGTTTATTTACGAGTCGAACGTTTGTGAATAAGTATCATGAGCTTGTTCGTTTGTTAACCGATTTGAGTTCGAAAATAAAAAAACAAGCTCGTTTACTAGTTGAACGAACACGAGCTTATTTGATAATATTCCCCGTTAATCTAATATAATTTTTTTATTTTATATGTGTACTTATATGTATGTTATTTTCAATAAATAATCTAAAATATGAAAATATTTTTTATCTTACCTTTTATTTTTGAGCTCGAACGAGTTTGGACAAAAATATCTCAAGTTAATCAAGCAATTTGAAAAAAGTTTGTTTCCTGAATTATTCGAACACGAATAAATTTGGATATTAACAAACAATTAAACGAATGAGTTAGAATAAGATTTTTTATTCCCTCAGAAAATAAAAGAACGATCACAAACATCATTCAAACATAAATGAACACGAAATCGAAATGGACAAGTGTGGCTCGTCGATTACGACAATAACTTTTGTAGTGCACAAGACATCATTTTAATCGACAATAACTTTTGTAGTGCACAAGACATCATTTGAACATAAACGAACACAAATGGACAATTTTGAACGTAAACGAACACGAAATCGAAATGGACAATAACTTTTGTAGTGCACAAGACATCATTTGAACATAAACGAACACAAATGGACAAATTTGAACATAAACGAACACGAAATCGAAATGGACGAATTTGACCGGTCGATTACAACAATAACTTTGTAGTGCACAAGATCTGTTCTGTTTGATGTAGTAAGTAAATGCAAAAGTTGATAAACACAAAAAGTGGTAAATTTCGTCATCTTTTGAGAAAATTATTCAGACTTAAATTGTATTGCTTAGAAAAATGTCACCCCCGATATCTTTCACACTAAAGCACTACTCTTCCTCCTTTTAACCGACCCGCTGTGCTCAATCCCTCCCTATATATTAATTCAAAACGTGTTGAGCCTAGGTGGCAAATTCTCACGCTTCGGATGTTGATATGGCGAAAATCTATGCTTCGTGATGTTATTTTTTTTATTATTTTTGCTCTGGAGTTAGATTTGGTATTAGACAAATAATTTTACACATATATTCATTAACTCAACACTCATATTGTACATGGGTATTAGTACTAGTTTAGTTATTATTTTTAAAATTTAGTCATTTTAGTTCGGTTTCAGTTTTAGTTTTAGTTGGAGAATATCTGAATTAACCTAACCAATCGAATTACACGCACATATTAATTTTTTATTAAATATATAATTTTGAAAAAAAAAATCAAATATATTAATTATATTGTAAATTATAGTACGCTTTGATCGACCAAATTAATCTGTTATTTTAATTCAGTTAATGATAAAATCAGTCAATTCGGTTTTATGAATTTGGTCTGTTTGAGTATTTTTTTTTTTTTAAAAATAATAACGTTAAATTAATAAATTAACGATAATAATTAATAAGAATAATCTTTAATTATTATTTTTTTTCCTTAAAACAAATCGCTATAGCCTATAAACGCAATAAAAAAAAAAAAAAGAATGGAGCGATTTAGGCTATGGCTATGTTTGATAAACCAAATAAGCTAGCTTATAGCTTATTTGGTTAACTTATAAGCTTTCTGTATTCAAATAACACCCGTTTGATAGGACCAGCTTATTTGATAAGCTTGTTTAGGTAGTTTTTCAAATAAACTAGTTGAATTTTTTATTCCAGCTAGCTTATCAGCTAATTTTACCAAACACTTTTATCATATAAGCTAGCTTTTCAGCTATAAGTCATAAGCTATAAACTCGAAAATTACATATAAGCTATAAGCTAGCTTATCAGCTATCAGCTAGCTTATCAGCTAATTTTACCAAACATATTATATAATTTATAATTAAGAAATTTAGAATTAGAAAAGCAAAACATAAAATAAATAAATGAACAATATATTTTCGTTTTTCCCTTCTATCACACTCGAACTCGATCTTAAAACCCTAATTGGCATAAAAAATTCAAATTCAGAAGCTATACGCCTCACAATACACGGAAAAAGCCAGCCGGTAGGTTTTAAGCAATGATGAGAGGAACTAAGCGTTCGGCAATCTCAGAACCTACTCCCCTTTTCAATTCGAACGACACCTTCGTAAGTGTGTGTGTGTGTGTGTGTGTGTGTGTGCGCGAGTAACCGATTGATTTTTTTTCCTGTCAATGTTGTGTTGAAGGTTATGTTCCTGTGCAGATGCAGAGCAAGAAAGCAGTAATGGGGTCTCAATTTGCTGCCGACAAGGCAGAAACATCTATTCGGCAGCCGCCATTGGATGCGCAGAGAGCTGAATCATCAAGACGGCATGTGAGAGCTCTCAATACCCAGTTTGCGAGGTCCGTCACTGCTTATATATCTTTTAGCCCAACTTTTTCTTGACCTATTATTTGCTTGGAGTACTGATTTTGCTAGTTATTTGAGTTCTTGAGTTAGTTGTAGTGATTGTGTGCTTCGTTTTGGGTTGGACTGCAGAGCTTTTGGTTCGAATTAGTGAACTGTGGCCATCAGTTTTATGTAATGCTTGTACTTTGTGTTGACCCCAGCTTATCGTAGATTGGTGAAATTGTTTGTAGCAGGGTGGAGTTGCGAACATTGAAATTTTGTGTGCTGGGTTGAGCTCAGTAATTTGACACTGCCATGCTTAAGTTGGCAAAAAAATTTCTGTTCCTAAGATCGTGTCTTTATGTTTAACTGGAATGCTGTTGGCATTACCACAAGTTTTAAAGTTAGATACTGTAAAATCTGAGGTTTATTTGGATCAGGTCATGTTCTTTTGCTTGCTTTCCCTGCAATGTTATGTGTCATAGATTGGAACTTTGTGGGTACTGTGATTTATATCCATGCCTGAGACGTGCTGTAGTAGTGTAGTGGACTTCTTCTATTTCCTTCTCTGACATGTTTTAGATTTGTTTGGTAATGTTGTGAACTCTTACATGACAGTTGGATACAAAGTCAATTACAAAACCATCCAGATGAGCTTTGGGAGGATGGAGTGCAGGATTACTTAAACCATGCTAAAAGCATTATGGTAATTTCTCATAATCTGTAATTTTAGTCACTATCTCTAAGTCATCTAGTGCACCATTTGGCTGTGATGAGTCATCCTGGGGGGTCATTTCTATAGTTTTTAGTTATTATATGGGAATATTTTGTGATTACAAGGATTTCAACCTGACATTATTTGGTGAACTTTTTTGTTTTATGTAAGTTATTAGCAATCTCATTATCCTTCGGCCAATTTGTTTTGGTGTAATAGAGCATGCGGCAGGCATTGGTTGTGACTCTTGGTCAGCATTTGGTGCTATTCATACTAAACGTATATTTTTCACAAAAGGCTCTTGTAAAGTCTGTTGAAATTTTAAACAAACATTAAATTTTATTATTAGTATTATAGACACCATAAAAATACTGCCATCCTCCTGGGATTGTCTGATCCGATGCGAATCCTTTAGAATCACTACCACTATTTGTTGAGTAGTTTTTTACCATGAGGGGCTCCGTCATTTATTCATGTGGTATCAAATGATTGATTATATAGGAGGTGTCTAATGCTTTCAAGTGGAAGTGAGAAGGTCCACCGTATATGGTGGTCTGAGTGAAATCTCTCTCTCTCTCTCTCTCTCTCTCTCATCCTCTTTGTATCCAACCTCTATCTAGGAGCACATGTTTTATTTAATCATTACTGTTTGCCATCCCTCTCACCGATACATCACAATGAGTGTGGAGACAAATTTTGAGCCTTTGAGGACTTAAATTTTAGGTACAAAAGTAACTTTGTGAAGTTTACTGTTAGTGTACTGACTTGTTGTCTTCAATTGTAGGAGAAGTTTAGTGATGTTGTTAATTGGTTGAGAACAAATACTGTGGAAGGAGGGGGTATAGCCAAGGTTCCATCTGAAGATGCTCAGACTAAGCCTCTATTCGGAATTGACCAAAGCAGTCATACATTGTTTCCAGACAAGCCTGGTCCGACATTGTTTTCGGACAAACCTATGTTTCCTGCAGCCTCAACTGCAAGCTCTGGAACCCCATGGAGACCTACTCTTCTCTTTAATAATAATAGTACCCCTTTCACATTTGGAGGTATTATTTCAATATAATCGATGGAATGTTTATACTAATATGTATATATATATATGTTGAGTGTATCCACTGCATGCTATCGTAAATGTTGCATTGAGAAGTTGAATATTCATTATAAGATTTGATATATGTGTTTGCTAGTTATTCAAGTATGAATATGTTCCCAGTTAGAATATTTACAGAGTAGCTACCATAGTCGCTCTAATCCATAATATCTTAAGTCTCATTTATTATCATTAGTTCCACAATATACTGGGTTCCCATATATGGGTGATTTAACAATATTTTTTCACATTCAATAGAAGAATTCCGTTGTCGATTTTTTTCTAAAATACATGATGTTAGTTCATTTAAGACTGTTTTATGCTCATTGTTTCCAGGAAGCCAGGTTTCAGTTCCTGGAATTGGAAATGCCAATGTTGTTACTTCAAATCATGACACTTCAAATGAACCTGATGGAGGTAAGGGGTGATAAGGTCTTTACGATTAAATGATCGTCAATAAAGATACTAATTCTCTGGTTAATCGATCATGGCTTATGTCGTTTGTCTCTTTATGATCATCCGCAATATAAAGCTTGATTGCTTGTTGCATTTTTTTATCCTGCTTTCATTTGCTTGCATTTTTTAATGAAATTAATTTCAACTTTCAAGAGCTCAATGCATATGTCCACAATACAAAATCCTCCCGAAAAATTTAAGTGGTTCACCAATCTTAACAAGGATTTATTTAAGGTGCCTTAATACTGATTAGACTTTGATTCATCTCATTTTTGCTTGTCGCCACAGATATTACCAAGACTACATAGGAATAACATATACAAAACCCAATAAAGATGAGTACTGGCAACCAAATGTCTTAAATTACATCTTAGCCCAAGTTGATATGTTATACAATCGGAATCGGGGGATAGCCAGAAAAGTTGGTCAGTTGGTCTTAGTTTATCATCTGCCAAATGTTACTTTGTAAATGGTAGTAGCATAGAATTAGAACCTTTACTCTCATATATATAATATTATAGATGTCATTTCTTGTATTCATAGCCTTTATTTATGACACCCATATCTATTAGATTTTTAGCTTTTGAATATAGAACTTTCGATAGTTTCTTCTGTAATTCTTCCTGAATCATCGGTAAGTCGGCAAGCTTATGTATTCACAATGTCTGATATTTTCCAGTTGTTTTCATTATTATACCTCCACGTTTCATTGATTAGCAGCAGACTAAATGTAAAGGGTCTCCCTCTTGTTTGAATGCATATTCTCATTACTGTGGGCATAATAAAACTTGCTTCCTTACTCATATTTATAAGATGCATGGATAGAAGGTTTGCATCGGATATTTTGATTGCTGTAGTGAGACTTTTTTTTTTTTTTTTCTTTATGTCAATGCCTTGGCGAACAGAAGATGATATTGAACAGCCCAGTAGTCCATCTGTGAAAAAGAACCAAGAGGAGGGCATTATTGTTGTGCATGAAGTAAAATGCAAACTTTATGTGAAGGTAAGTATGTGTTAAAATTAACTAGATTGAAGGGATATATGATTAGGAAGTTTCCCGTTTCTTCTGATTTATCTAAGTGTAACTTCATTATTCAGTTAGGATTCTATTAAGAGTCTGACAATTCAATATCGACATAAGTAGAATTGGTTTGCATGATAGGTCCTTGTGTGCCACAAATCAATGTGTGCACAAAACCATTGAAATGATGAACGCCACTTCTGAGTAATTCGTGAATCAATAGGTGGATCCTAATAGTAATTCTGTTTTGTTCTTATTTCTTTGGTAATTGTGTTGTAATTATTTTAATATCATGTATGTATGATCATAATATTTTAAATAAGCATTGTGTTAGCTCACTACACTGTACTTTCTAGTTTAGTAATGCCACTGGAAATTGCGATACACTTTCTCATCCCAATGTCATTCGGCTGAAATGAATCATAAAACAAGTAATGATCCACAAATATTGCTTTTTCAAGGTGTAAATATGATACACCCCCCTTTTGCTACTGTAAAGCTCAAGCATTTTTGGTGGACGCAGCGAAGTGTCTTGATTTTTGCCGTGAACATTTACTTCTTATTACTGCTTAAATCTACTGATGTCTTGATTTTCCAAGTAACATGTTCACTGATGTGTGTTTTGGAATTTTTTAATCCCACCAGTTAATGTAATCTGTTAATGTAATCTTAACCCCCTGAGACAAAGAAAGGCCTAATTGTTTTTTTTACACATTTTTTCCTCATTGTGCTTTATAATGATGTTCATGTTTCCTTGTTACCAGTCGAGTGATCCAGCTGACGAAGGTGCTTGGAAAGATAAAGGCACGGGCCAACTTAGTATCAAGTGCAAGGAAGGCATCAGTAAGGGCACAAAGGAATCTAAACCAACCATAGTTATACGCAATGATGTAGGTTCCACTCTGATATATTTTATTTTTTCTGCTAAATAACTTCCCTATTTGTCACCCTTATTTATTTAATTATCTGTTTTGTCATTTTTCGTGGAGTTAATTGAATATGATTGCGACATTTGTATCCCAATTTTTCTGGTGGGGTTTCACATGTATTTGCTATTGAATTAGGTGGCATGCAGATTTGAGAATATGGTCTTATAGGAATTTTAAATTTTAGTTCAATTAATACAATGTGGATTTCCCTCAAACAAAACGGCAAGCTACCATTCGTACGATCACATTCTCCATCTAAACATGCGTCTTTGCATTTCCTGTAACTGTTGTAGGTGGGAAAGCTGCTGCTCAATGCGTTGATATACCCAGGCATCAAGACAAATCTGCAAAAGAACTCAGTTGTTACAATATTTCATACTTCGGTAATTCATTGCTGTTATGTAGTTACTTCACATTTATTTCCCATGTTTTCATTTATTTGGCAAATTTTTTTTCACTGTATTACTGTTTTATAGGTTGCATTATCCTTAACTCGGTCGCACTTGCTCCTTATAACAAAACTGAAGGAAAGCAAGCATTTTTTGGTGCAGCTTAGTATTTTCTAGCAGTTTGATATTGAGGGGCCATTTGAAATGACCAATTTGGTCAAATCATGCAGAAATTAAGATGTTCAGCCTATTAAAAATAATCAGCAACACAGTTGATCCATTTTGTTGAAAATTCAATTTTAGCTTTGAGACATCTAATCTCCTGCATAGATTTGTGATTTACGATAAGGTTTTGTTCGAGGAGGCATAATTTTATCCTACAGCCCCTAAAAATAGAGAAAATGTAGCCTACCCTTTGTGTTTTTACAGAATAGGAAATCCCCAGATATGTTAATATTTACATGTTGCCTATTTAAATCAACTGTATGCGCTCGTGCAGTATCTGATGTTTTCATGCTATCTTTCAAGGATGATGGTGATAACAATGAAAAAGTCGTTGCTCGGACATTTTTGATGAGAACAAAAACCGAGGAGGACAGAGATAAACTTGCTGCCGCCATTCAGGATTGCGCTCCTTCAAGCTGAGACTAGCAAAGTATATATGTTTTTCATTTTACATACCATTTTGTTGTACGTCTAGCTAAAGCGCCCTGCATTATTGGGATTTTTTTTTCAATGGTTAACACTGTCCGTAATTTAAAGATTTTTATGGACTTGTGAAATTTCACATGCCTGAGGAAATCCGAGATGTGTAAAACGATCTGTACGCCTGTGTATTTCACGGCGAGGTGCAGCATAAATACCTTTTTATCCGTTCTTGCTTCTTCTTTGATACACTACCAAACCAATTTCCAAGTTTGGTGTGTTTTCCTAAAATTTTATTCTCACTCTATTGATATTTGGAGTTTGTAATAATTTTATTTAATCATCTGTGAACATTATATTCTAGCTTTGCTGTGTAACAAATTTTCTCTTCGGATTTATATATTTTGTTTTTATTATTATTTTTAAAAATATAAAAATTTTATATCATTTAAAAATTTACATAAATATTTGGTAGGGTGAGGGTATACTTGTTGGGTAGCTGATTGTGGAAAGGACCTTATATTATAATGGGCTTAATATGGCAAAAAATATGGGCCACTGTTTAATGGGAGATGATGTTGAACATGTAAAGTTGATGCAAGAAATTATATACGATATAATATAAGAAGAAATTATATGTAGCAATGTATAAACTATAAAGTCAAACAAATATTTATGTAAATTTTTAAATGATAAAAAGATTATTATACAGAATATGTAAACTTTTAAATAGTTAGCATCGGAATGTGGTGAACATTTTTTTTGGGGAAGCAAAATATTGATAAATGGTTATAGAATCATAAGATCCAAAACTTTTTTTGCCCTTTACCCAAAGTCATGTTTGTTTTCAGTTTCCAAAGCATGCTTTCACTAAATTTTTATTATTATTGTTAATCCTAGTTATTAAAATTTTCCCCACACTTGCATATGATGAAAAAGGAAAAAA